TGCAGCAGAGGCAGCAAAGGAGTTGCTATGGTTGAAGGCTTTTCTTCTCGAGCTTGGAGTAAGCTTTGAGAAATACTTCATCCACTGCGACAGTCAGAGTGCCATTCACTTGTCAGAGAACGACGCATTCCATGCTCGGACCAAGCATGTTGATGTGAAGCACCATGCCATACGGAGATGGCAAAGCAGGAACGAGTTCAAGCTTGTGAAGATTGATACGAGGTACAATCCAGCCGATATGCTGACCAAGCCAGTTCCACTCGAGAAGGTGAGGCTGTGTGCAGCCTCATATGGCCTCCGTTGAGAATGTTGAGGGCCGTGCAAGACGCCAAAGATACATGACATCCGGATGATGCAACCAAGAGTGGTGTGAAGATATGATCGACATTCAATCAAATCTTCAAGTGGGAGATTGTCAGGCGCCCAACCTTTTTGACCCAGCCAACATGAAAACAAAAGTGGGGCCCACAAAGGCGGGCCCCACAAGAAGAAAAATCAAATTCGGTGGCAGCCATTGTTGAGAATTTATAAAGGATGTGGGTCCCACAAATATTTTATTATTAGTGGCGGGTCCCACAGATAATATTATATTTGTGCATAGTGTTTTCTCAAACACTATAAATAGGGCCCTAAACTCTTAAGGAAATCTCATCCCAGAAACAACTCCTCTTATAGAAGAGTAAGAGAAAACAAAGAGAGAGTTTGTGAGAGTTCTTGGAGTGTATCTGATCAAGAGAGGGTGTTCTCTTGGATCAATTCTTTTGGGATATTAAAGAATTTGGCGTCGTCGTTGCACTAATAATATTTTATTTGTGCATAGTGTTTCTCAAACACTATAAATAGGGCCCTAAACTCTTAAGGAAATCTCATCCCAGAAACAACTCCTCTTATAGAAGAGTAAGAGAAAACAAAGAGAGAGTTTGTGAGAGTTCTTGGAGTGTATCTGATCAAGAGAGGGTGTTCTCTTGGATCAATTCTTTTGGGATATAAAAGAATTTGGCGTCGTCGTTGCACCGTGGAGTAGCTCCGAAGGGGTGAACCACGTATATCTGTGAGTACTCTGTGTTGAATTTTGTGCCTTTATTTTGTGATTAAGTCTCCGTTCGAGGCGTTATTATTGGGGTGAATCCTAACACTACGTACATCAGAATATTTTCCACGATTGAAACATGTCCCTTGATATAAAGATCCCGTGAGGATGAATCAAATATTAACAGATTCCCTATTCGGATTAAAAATATTAATATTAGGAAGGAGAAAAAAAATTGTGTCCTTGCTTATTTGGACTTGAATAGTCTGCACTTAGACCAAATTGTGCCACTGAAACAACAAGTTAATCATGCAATAGCAGATCTCAAAAACAAACGACTGGTTGTTATTGTAGTCGAAATATAAAAGTAATTGCTATCTGGATTAAATATGATTTTTTTTAAATTGACTGCAATATGATTTTTTACATTTTACTACTCAAGAAAATGAGCTTTTTTTTCACTTAAAAAGACACACATCATATGTTGGTTCAGCCCTTCAATCCATTTTCTCCACAAGATGGAGCCCACATCATATCTTCGTCTCCGCCATGACTTTTGTTTTGTTTTTTGTTTTTGTTTTTTGTATTTTTTTTCTTTTTGGGTCGTTTTCGCTGGGTTCACGGGAAGAAAACGAAACTGAAATTTCAACCATTTTTCCTCTTTGGATTCCCTCATTTTCGTTTTCTTTTTCTCTCTCTTTCTAACCAGAGTCCAGACAGAGTTTTTCCTCTTTGGATTCCCTCATTTTCGTTTTCTTTTTCTCTCTCTTTCTAACCAGAGTCCAGACAGAGGAAATTTTTACTATGTCGTCTCTTTTCTGTTTTCTTTTTCTCTCTCTTTCTAACCAGAGTCCAGACAGAGGAAATTTTTACTATGTCGTCTCTTTTCTTTTCTTTTATTCCATTTTCAATCGAATCAAACACAGGCTCAGGCTCCCGTACGTGAAATCTGGAAGATAATGAAGCAAAGTAGAACTAAACAATCCAATCAATTGTTTACAATCCTCCTACTGCTGTCAGCATTTTCTAAATTAAAATCTCATACACGTCACCTTGAGCAGAACAGATATCATTCGGAGACCAAAAAAAGAAAAGAAAAAAAAGAAAAAAAAATACTGCAATATTAGCAGTAAATGAGAAGAATAAATCAAAGATAGTGCATTACCTTTTTCTCTAGTCTCATCTTTGTCGATCTGTGCCTTTTCTGTAATACCCTAACCCTTGAGAGGGTGATGTGATTAGTATTGATAGATTTGATTGGAATACTCATACCACCAAGATGCATCTTCTTTTCGGGAACCCAACTCCTAGAAACTCCAAAGTTAAGCGTGCTTGGCCTGGAGAAATTCTAGGATGGATGACCCCCCGGGAAGTTTTCCAGGGAGCGCGTGAGTGAGGACAAAACATACTGAAAAGACTTGTGGTGGTTTGTGAGGTCAGTCCATCAGATCTAGTAGCGCACCGACTCCGAGATTCCGGGGCGGGGCGTTACATTTTCCACCATCAATAGAATAAAATGTTAACGATTGCCACCTGATCAAGCTTAAGCAGCTCACGAGCTACTTGTCCAGTGGAAATAAGCTCATTATGCTGTGTGCCTACCAATGGCAAAGAGTAGGAAAATATAAAGAAGACCATACATTATCAACAAAATCTAGTAAATAAAAATTATATAATATGTTTCTCACAATTGCTTCATTACCTCATAATACAAATGTTATTCTTGAAATAACTAGTAAGAAACCTTTATGTAAATAAGCACATTTGTAATACATTTGTCAAAGTTCTAAACAATACAATACGCGGACATATACTCCTCCATCTTGATCCTCCGCAACTTTGGAACCACATCTTTCATAGCAAGCCTTTGTTTAGGTAAGCCACTTGAACAGATAATGCCCAACTCCATTATAGAAGATAAACAATCATTTCCTTTCTCATCTTTCAAGAGATTGCAGTCTCTACAGTATCAAACAGGCCGGTATGATTTGCATCGCATACCTATTGTTGGCAAGCTTGATTCCCCAGTGAAATTAAACATATGCCTTTGTGAGACTCTACCGGTTGATGTATACTCTGTTGGGACAAACCCAGGGCCCAATAGAGCAGGGTCGCAGTAATAGTAGTGAAAGTAAAGATAAAAAGATGGACACATAGATTTACGTGGTTCGACACTTGATTGCCTATGTCCACGGACAAGGATAGAAGAATTTACTATGAGGAGAAAACTTTGGAGTTACGATCTCTCTTTACAAGGAGATACTCCTCTCTCTATTTTTTCTCTCTCTTCTATATAAGAAGTTTTTTCTGGGATGAGATTTCCTTAAGGATTTAGAGCCTATTTATAGTTTTGTGGAAAACACCATGCACAATAAAATATTAATATTTTACTATGCTGTGGGGCCCGTCATTTTTATTTTCTTTTCAAAATTTCAAAGTAGGTGGCTGCTTTCTTTCTTTTTAAAGTTGGCTGGCGCCTGACATACTCTATTCCACAGACATAAAGAATTGGTTTAAATCATATGTAATTTGATTAAATTTCAGGTTAAAGCTTGTAATTTCAATTATCTAGAGCAATGTAGCCAATGGTGCATGCCATGCAAGCTGAGGTTACACTTCTGTTATCAGCAGTCAATAGTTTCGCAATGCCAAAGTTGCTAACGTGTGCAGTCATTTCTTTATCAAGAAGAATGTTGCTTGGTTTCAGATCACAGTGTAGTACAACCTCAGAATGGTGGTGATGAAGATAGCCAAGAGACAATCGTGTTGAACTCGCTGAGGTGCATCGTGAATGACCGTCCTTCTGTCATCTTGAGGTTGAAGAGGGTTTTGACGAGATGCACCTTATTTGTGGCAGATGGTTGCTCATACATCTTCGCAAGCGCTTCCATAAATCCCACCGTCGTCTTCTCCTTCAATATGTTATGGGTGACTATTTTGGTGAGAGACAACCGGATTTGCCCCAGGGCCTTCCTATCCAGTATCTCTCGGTCCTTGTTTGACTCCTCTTTCTTCTTTCCTTTAGATTTGCCCATCAATGGGCTATACAAGTTCTTCTAGTACAGATAGTCCTCCATCTGCGACTTCTAGTAGGTGAAGTTTGAACCGTCAAACTTCTCGATATTTTATTTGCTTTCTTCTGTCATCTCTCACACAAATTGCTTGAACGAAGCTTTTATACCAGTTGTTGGGGATTTAAAACAATCAAATCGAACCCGCGCCCTTCTGGATCTTATGTTGAAAGTTTAGTAAGCAAGAAAACACCGCAAATAAAGATCAAAACTTGTAGGAAAGTAAAAGAGACTGAACACACAGATTTAACAAGGTTCGGCAACTTACCTACGTCTTCGGGAGCCACACCACACAATCTCTTTGATTAATTGAAGAAAGATTACAAGCTCACAAACTAGGGTTTAATCTCTCTGAAGAATCCTCTCAAAAACTCTCTTTTTGATGCTCTACTAAACCCTAAAATCGTTTAGGTATATATAGGATCCCAGGTCAAAACAGAATACAAAATAGATTAGGAAATTGCCGGATCACGTCGCGGTCGACCAAACTTGGCTCCGCGGTCGACCGGCCAGAATGTCAATTCTGCAGGGTGCTTCATGCACGTTTGCGGTCGACCGTACCAGATATCGCGGTCGACCGGCCAGAACGCCAGTTTCTTCTCAGTCTCGTGCATGCATCGCGGTCGACCGGACCAAGCTCTATGGTCGATCGCCCGTCATTTTGACTGTTTCCTTCGTCTTCTTGATTCCAGTTTTTGGTCTACACACTTGGACTAATAGTATTACTGATCACATAGTTAGTTATATGTCCGGGTCTGGTTGAGTTTGTTTAGTATTGATGAGGGGCCACTTCCTTCCCTGACTTCATCCCGTCGAGCCTTTTCCTTGCTCCTACTCTTCGGGTGCTCAGTTTATCTCTAAATTAGTTAAGAGGAAACATACCGTTTGAGATTGGAAATATGAAGCAACTTAATTACTTGTATATTGGTGATAACTATCTAACGGGCAAAATATCATCCTCTTTGGGCAACCTCACTAATCTAGTTGACATAACCCTTGACAACAACAGCTTCCATGGAAATATTCCTGAGGAGCTGCGTCGTCTTACAAACCTTAAAAGATTGCAGATTGGTCACTGTGGTGGTATTACTGGTTCTATACCGGTTTCCCTTTCTAATATGTCATCGCTCCGAATCATGGACCTTGAGAGCAATAGCCTTGATGGACCGGTGCGTTTGCAATTTGGGACTATGCCTCTTCTTATATCCTTGTTGTTACCCGGAAACAGACTAACCGGAGGGTTGGACTTCCTCGCATCACTGTCAAACTGCAGAGCTTTAGATTTTGTGGAAGTTAGCGCAAATGAGCTGGATGGCATTCTACCAAATACCGTAGGTAATCTCTCGAGGAACCTAGCATTCTTTAGTATTGAGCAAAATCATATTAAGGGGAAAATTCCTTTGGAACGATACCGTTGGAAATCACAACTCTAGAAGGCCTGCAGAGGCTAACACTGTCTAGTAACGGTATATACGGTTCCATCCCAAATGAACTTGGTCGATTAAGAAACTTGAAACAACTGTACCTCGACAGTAACAGTCTTTCTGGATCCATACCTGACTCTATTGGAAATATCATTGGACTAGACCAATTGACGCTTAGTGCTAACAGATTATCTTCAACAATTCCCGAAAGTGTTTGGGGTCTGACTCGTCTACTTTACTTAAATCTGTCACAGAACCTTCTCTCTGGATTTCTACCTTCAGCATTGTGGAATATTAAGGACTTGAACACATTTGACGTGTCAAGAAATCGGCTATCAGGTAACCTTCCAAGTCCTCCGAAGTATCTCGAAATCAATACGTTGTACCTATCAAATAACTCATTTGCTGGCCACATTCCTGAATCATTTGGGGATCTTTTTAATCTCGAGGGTTTGGACCTTTCTTGCAATAACCTCTCAGGTTTCATACCCGAGTCCTTGGTCAATCTCCAACACCTCAGCATCCTAAACTTATCTTTCAACATATTGGAAGGAAAGGTTCCAAATGTTGGTGCCTTTATGAATGTCAACATCGTGTCTTTGGAAGGAAAGGCGGCATTATGTGGAGCACCCAGATTTGGCTTTCCATCTTGCAACATAACTGATTCCACAGTTTCTAATTCATGGAGGCATTTGTTACGATATATCCTCCCTGCTATTGCTTCTACGGGAATCCTTGTTCTCTGTTTTTGCATCCTATTAGGATTACGTAGAAGGAGAGCCAAGAATCCAACCCCAAGTAGCACGCTCTCTCCTACCAAGCATAGATTGACCCCCTACTACGAGCTTGTTCGTGCCACTGACAACTTCCGCGAGATAAACTTACTCGGAAGGGGTGCATTTGGTTCTGTGTACAGAGGGCTTTTAGATGACGGCCTTCTTGTTGCCATCAAGGTCTTGAATATGCAAATCGATGGAGCTTCAAGGAGTTTTGATGCTGAGTGTCGTGCTTTGAGGATGGTTTGCCACAGAAATCTTGTTAGAATCATCAGTACTTGTTCCAACTTGGATTTCAAGGCACTTGTCCTCCAATTCATGCCCAATGGTAGCATTGAAAGATGGCTCTACTCCCATAACTACTCCTTGAGCTTACTTCAAAGGATTAACATAGCCATAGATGTTGCTTCAGCTACTGAGTACCTCCATCATCACCATTCTCATGTTGTGCTGCATTGTGATCTGAAGCCGACCAACATTCTTCTTGATGAAGAAATGGTTGCACATGTCAGCGACTTTGGCATTGCAAAATTGCTGAGTGGTGACAACCGGAGTGTAACCTCAGCGAGCACGCCGGGGACAATTGGTTATATTGCCCCAGGTAAATAAATTTATAAGCTTTCGCCTAAAATCTAGTCCAATCACGTGCAATCTGTATTAACGTTTGTGTTTGCGGTGTAGAGTATGCTTCAACAGGAAGAGTCTCCACAAGGGGAGATGTCTATAGCTTTGGAATATTGTTGCTAGAAATCTTTACGAGAAAGAAGCCTATTGATCCTATGTTTACTGGGGAATCAAACTTGCGACGATGGGTAAATGATGCATATCCTGCCGGCTTGTTTGATATAGTGGACTGCAACCTCTTGAGAGATGAGGATGGAAACGAAAGGCCGAGGAGCGACTTAATTTCATTGCAGACTTGTCTATCTTCTATCATGGAGTTGGGGATTATCTGTTCAAGTGACTCGCCTAGAGAAAGGCTTGCTATGAAAGATGTCGTCCCACGATTGCGGAAGATCAAGATGGAGTATTTGTCAGTGTATTGAGTTGTTTGAAACATGCCTGTAACATATTATGAATGCACTACTAATCACTATGTTTGGGAGTTTGGTAATGAAGGGGAAGGAAAAGGAAGGGAGTGTAAAATAGGACAAGGGATGGTTTCCTTTTATGAGAAGCATTTTATGCATTTTTTTTGTTTACTAGATTTTGCAGATAACAGACGAGCTTCCATTTAGTTTCTCTCACTTTGCTGTAGGTAGGCGTCCAGAATGAGCTTACTTCCACTGGACAAATAGTCCACGATCTGCTTAAAGCTTGATTGGGTAGCAAGCCTTAACATTTTTTTTCCAGCGTTTGTTTTTATTTCAGGTTTCCAATAAATTAATAGCTTTTGTCATGACATTGTGCAAAATTCAACAGGTTTAAGCAAGAGTTTCTCTTCGCTCGGTGTCCCTTAGTTCACCGGCCAAATCGATTCCCATATCCATAGTTGCTAACAGGTAGTTTTAAGGGAGAGTTTTTGTGAGTCTTCAACAAATGATATTAAAATTAACTATTTTCTGTTTCAATTTATATTACATTTTATTTAAAGGTATGTTGGATGTTTGTAGTGGATGTTGCGCGCCTATGCGGAAGCGTGCTTGCACACCAAACGAATCTGTGATCACGGGAGAAGAGAAGTAACCACACACGAGCACAATTCAATCCAAATACGACAAATCAAACCAAACACAGAGATATACGTGGTTCCGCAAATTGCCTACGTCCACAGGGAGAGGATGAAAAGATTCCACTAAATCAATGAGAGTACAAAGGGTTACAATCTCACAAAATCACTCACACAAAGCCTAAACCAAATCTCTCAACTTGCTCACAAGTTCTCCATGTCAATATGCTCAGTACAATCTGAAATCTTTGTTCAGAAACCCTAGAAAATCGTGTTTCAATTTATATTAAAACACAACTCAATGCGAACAGGAAACTAAATTTAGGCCCAGCCCGACTCGTGGTCGACCGCAAAGACACGTGCAGTCGACCGGACAGAACGACAGAAACTGAAAAGCATTACATGGTTTGGCCGGTCGACCACCGCGCCAATTGCGGTCGACCGCGAAAAGTCTAAAGACTTTTCCAGTTTGCGTGCATGTTGGCGGTCAACCGCCGCGCCACTCGCGGTTGACCGCTGGAAGTCTAAACTTGTTTTTTGCCGTTTTTCCTGTATTCTCTTCAGTGGACGCCCAAGTCAATCTTGGATCGATTCTTCTCATTTATGCTAAATTGCTGCATTTAAGCCTCTGTGTGATATCTGTCCTGCTCAAGGTGATGGGTATGAGATTTTAATTTGAAAAATTCTGACAGCAGTAGGAGGATTATGGCCCTATTGCGATATGAATAGTCAATTTGACTAATTATTTGGTTCTATTTTACTTTTGCTGTTGAGACCGGTGGATCTCAATGCTTCAGTGAAACTGGATTTTCATCTCGAAATGGATATCTATTTACAATTAGGGCCCGTTTGGATAATGAAAGTATTGGAAGTAAGATGTAAGTTGCGAAAGTAACTTCCAAAACTATGAAATAGGAAGTAGCGGAAATAACATTTTTTTTGTTTGTTTCATATATTTTTAGAAGTAATGGAAGTAGAACTTCTTCCTCTTCATTTATTTTTTATTGTTTGGATAATAATTGGAAATATAACTATGAAGTAATTAATACATGTTGCTTCTATTTTATTCTTGTTTGGATTGTCATTGAAATAAAATAGAAGTATTATAACACACAGTATTCTTGCTGCAATGATATTGAAACATAATTGATTGTTTGCTGCCGTAATTGTCGGAGACTCGCAGTACAATTTTGCTACTATATATGTCAAAATTTGATAATGAAATATGATTTTTCTAACGGGTGCCTATAGGCACTTACTAGAGGATGATTATCTATCAGATTTTGCAAGCTGTATACTTTCTTTTAAAGCATCACATATATTTCTACTATACATGTATCATACTGTTTTCTTCTTATTATTGTCTTTATTTCTAATTTATGAATTTCCATTAAAAACAATATTTCTAATTTATGAAGGGAAAAAAATCTTTTATATATGTCACATGTTCAACAGAAAAGTATGTCGTTCATCAATTCCAATAACAATATTTTTTATATCTACGAAAGCAAAAAAATGCATGAACGACATTCATCAATTTTAATAATAATATTTTTTATATCTACGAAAGCAAAAAATGCATGAACGGCATCACTGTCATAATTTTTTTTTAAATATTTATAAAAAAGATTTTATGATTACATATCAACTTCCGCCGTAATTATGATTTTGAGAATCTTTTTTCTTTCGTGGACCCCACCCTACATCAACTTCCGTCGTATTTCAATGCATTTGAAGACAGAAAAATATCAAGGAAATAGAGGTGCCACGTAGACGCCACGTCAGCTTTCAATAAAGTAGCGGAAGTAGTTTTTACAAAGAAACAAACATACATTTTTGCTAAGAAGTAGCAGAAGTAGCCTCTACTTCTGCTATTTCATAGTTACTTCTGTGCAAACAAACGGGTCCTAAGTCACAGTCAATGGACACCCAATAGAAGAAGTCTGTTCCATATCCAGATTCTTTGTGAAGTACTAGAAATTTGACACTAACAAATGCACATGACATGAAAACATATTGTTATTGTATATTTACATAAAAAAATAAAATAAACAGACCTTAAGAAGTAAGTAAATAATGTAGTGTTTATTCTGACCCGTCCTACTGTAGACCCGTGACCAAATAAGTAGGCCCGACACACTGTAGACGCAGCCTAGCCTACTGTAGACCCGACCCATCAATGGCCTAGTCCAGCCCAAGCCGGCCCGGTCCAGCCCAAGCCGGCCCGGCCCGACCTGCTAGATTCAAGGTTAATTATAAATATTTATTTTGTTTAGCAAAAAATAAATGAGCTTCACGCAGACAGGTATTTAAATCCGAATTGTGTATATCTTTGTGTTTGCTATTTTTCTATGTGATGTTATATATATACTAGGTTTTATGCACATGCAATGCACATGGTTGAATACCATGATTAAGTATTTTTGATTTGTTTCCTTACTAAAATTTATTCCTCGGTTCCATTTTGATGGTTTTTGTTCACTTATGCCTCTAAACTTTAGCATTGTAATTATTCATTTATTTTCTTTATTTTGTGATTTTGAATATTTGAGGTTGTGTTTTGCAAAATTTGAAAGTTTGATAGTATGTTTTGAAAATTTTAAATTTTAAGTTAGATGTTTGTAATTTCCATGTTTCGTGCATTGTTGGTAAGTTTTCGTCAGGATATTTCTTACAACTCAAAAACTTGAAGAGTGCTTTTTGCAATTACTAAAACTTTGGATTGTTTTTTGTAAATTTAAAATTTCAACGGACTGCTGATAATTTCTAGATTTGATATGTACTGGTTATAAGTTTTAAAATTTTAGGGTTTCTTTTGTGATTTTTGTCTTCTAAATAAGTTTTTTTTTTGCAATTTTTAGAAGTTTGAGGTTATTTTTTATAAATTTTAAATTTTCAGGTGCGTGATAGTTGTTATTGGTGTTCCCATTCGTTAAAGTGCAAGTCATTGCTAAGCAACGGGTATGTGCACTTCTGTATGCTATGCCCTAGTTAACTTGGCTGCCCAAGACCAGCGAGGAGTCCGACTAAACCGACTCGTCGAGTCGACATTCCTCAATGTCGACATGAAAGGAGGTACCAGTTGACCCTCTTGTCGAAGACAACTCGCCATAAGTCCACTCGACCACTTGCCAGACGCCTTGGAAAGACGACTCAAAAGGCGTTACTTATCGATGAAGCTAAACGATAATTTCTACCTCGAGCCTATCCTCATTGGTAACGTGTCAACATCACATTTAATGTTTGGCAGGCACCATCATGCCTCTGGCCTCGATAGCCTTCATGACTCATCGGACCACATAGGCCCTTCCATGCCGCCGATCACTTCTCATTTAATGTTGAAGTGATCCTTCCTCCAGTCGCTAGTCGATACCTATAAAGCAGAAGCTGACTCAGCTGTCAGCCCCCACTTTGCCACTGCCCTCCTGTGCTTGGCTAGAGTGACCAATCTGCCCTTATACCCTAGGTATAAATACATGTACTATTCTAACGTAAAAAAGGTTTACAAATCTGGATCTTCTTTGATCTAATCTAATCAGTAAAATTAAACCGCACACTTACAAGAACTCACACAGTTCTTCTTTTTTCTCACTCAAGTTCATCAATTAACTTGGTCGTCAGAGGAACCACGGGGGACCTAAGCCCCGTCCTTTCACTTGTTCTACATGTGCAAGCTGTCCAGCAACCCAACTCAAGAACAAGACATAAAGTCAGGGAAGAAAACGGTCCTTCATCAAACTCTAACTTTATACAAGTATGTATATTGAATTTTCTTGAAATTTACAGATGACAACCAGCATATATTGTTTCTGAGAAAATAAAAGGAAAACTATATGTTATCAAAAAAATCTAGTAAATAAAAGTAACTAAAATGCTTCTCATAGTTGCTTCTGAATTCATAATACACATTACTCTTGATATAACTGACAAGAAACCCGTATGCATATAAGTAAATTCATAATACAGTATTGTCTTGTTTCAAGCAACAAAAGGGTCAGACATATACTTCATCTTGATCTTTTGCAATTGTGGGACAACGTCTTTCATAGCAAGCCTTTCGTTAGGAAAGTCACTTGAACAGATAATCCCCAACTCCATGATGGAAGATAGACAGGCCTGTGTTGAAATTAAGTAGTTCTTTGGCCTTTCATTTCCATTTTCATCTTTCAGGAGATTGCAGTCCACAATATCCAACAGGCCCGTAGGATTTGCGTCATTTACCCATCGTCGCAAGCTTGATTCCCCAGTAAACATAGGATCAGTAGGCTTCTTTCTCGTAAAGATTTCTAGCAACAATATTCCAAAGCTATAGACATCTCCCTTTGTGGAGACCCTTCCTGTTGATGCAAACTCTACACCGCAAAACACAAAGGTTTAATACAAATCATTTGCGATTGGATTAAATTTGAAATGAAAGCTTGTCAATTTAATTACCTGGAGCAATATAGCCGATTGTTCCTGCCGTGCTTGCTGAGGTTCCGCTCAGGCTGACACCACTCAGTAGTTTTGCAATGCCAAAGTCACTCACGTGCCCACTCATTTCTTCATCCAGAAGGATGTTGCTCGGTTTTAGATCACAATGCAGTATAACCTCAGGATGGTGGTGGTGAAGATAGTCTAGAGCTGACGCTACATCGATTACTATATTAATCCTTTGGAGTAGGCTCAAGCAGTAATTATGCGAGTATAGCCATCTTTCTAGACTTCCATTGGGCATGAATTGGAGGACGAGTGCCTTGAAATCCAAGTTGGAACAAGCGCTGATGATTCTAACAAGATTTCTGTGTCGAACCATCCTCAAAGCACGACATTCAGCATCAAAACTCCTTGAAGCTCCTTCGATTTCCAAATTCAATACCTTGATGGCAACAAGAAGGCCGTCATCTAAAAGCCCTCTGTACACAGAACCAAATGCACCCCTTCCGATCATCTAAAAGCCCTCTGTACACAGAACCAAATGCACCCCTTCCGAGTAAGTTTATCTCGCTGAAGTTGTCAGTGGCACGAACAAGCTCGTAGTAGGGGAAAGTTTATCTCGCTGAAGTTGTCAGTGGCACGAACAAGCTCGTAGTAGGGGATCAATCTATGCTTAGTAAGAGAGAGCGTGCTACTTGGGGTCGGATTCTTGGCTCTCCTTCTACGTAATCTTAATAAGATGCAAAAACAGAGAACAAGTATTCCCGTAGAAGCAATAGCAGGGAGGATATATCTCAACAAATGCCTCCCCGGATTAGGAACTCTAGAATCAGTTACATTGCAAGATGGAAAGCCAAATCTGGGTGCTCCACATAATGCCACATTTCCTTCCAAAGACACGATGCTGACATTCATAAAGGCACCAACACTTGGGACATTTCCTTCCAACATGTTGAATGATAAGTTAAGGATGCTGAGATGTCGAAGATTGACCAAGGACTCGGGTATAACTCCTGAGAGCTTATTGCAAGAAAGGTTCAAGACATCAAGATTAATGAGATCACCAAATGATTGGGGAATGTGCCCCTCAAATGAGTTATTTGATAGATCTAAAACATTGATTTCGAGATACTTCGGAGGACTTGGAAGGTTACCCGACAGCTGATTTAGTGATACATCGAATACATATAAGCCCTGCATGTTCCACAAAGCTAATGGCAGCGATCCAGTGAGAAGGTTTTGTGACAGACCCAATTCATATAGAAAAGTCAAACTCCAAATAGTTTCAGGAATTGTTGAGGATAACCTGTTAGCGAAAAGTGTTAATTTCTCTAGTCCAGTGATGTTACCCAGCGAGTCAGGTATGGATCCAGAAAGACTGTTGCTGTCGAGGTAGAGTGTGTCCAACTTTGTCAATCGGCCTAGCTCTTGTGGGATCGAACCGTATATCCTGTTACTATACAAACTTAGGTATTGCAGGCCGTGTAGGGTTATGATTTCTAACGGTATCGTTCCAGCTAGCTCATTCTTGCTCAATGATAGAACCATCAATGCAGTCAAGGAATTTTCCCCTTAAAATGATTATCCTCAACATCAAGGTATGTTAGAGTCCTTGAAAGATTACCTACGGTATATGGAAGAATGCCATCCAGCTCATTCCCACGAACAGACACAAACTCTAAACCTCTGCAGTTTGAAAGCGATGCAAGGAAATCAACTCCTCCTGTTAGTTTGTTTCCTGATAGATCCAAGTAGTAAAGGTTAGCCATGTTCCCAAACTGCAAACGCACGGGCCCGGTGAGACTATTATCGTTCAGTGCAATGAATGTGAGTGATGACAAATTGGAAAGAGAAATTGGTATGGGACCAGTAATACCACCACAGAAAACAATCTGCAATAGCTCAAGGTTCGTGAGACGACCCAAGTCCTCGGGAATGTTCCCATGGAAGCTGCTGTTGCCAAGGCTTAATTCAGACAAATTAGTCAGGTTACCTAAAGAGGATGGTATGTTACCCGTTAGATTGTTACTTCCAAGAGCTAATATATTAAGCTGCTTCATATTTCCAATCTCTGGCGGTATGCTCCCGGTTAGCTGGTTAAAAGCCAAGCTCAGGATTTGAAGAGTACGACTACTGCAAAGGCTAGACGGGATGCTGCCAGTGAGTTGGTTGTCATGTATGGACATAATATGAGGGAACAACGGATGGAAGTTGCTATCATTAGAGGGCAGGGTCCCTGAAATACTGTTGGACCCGAGTTGCAATTCAATAAGCGATGACATGTTGAAAAAGGAAGGAGGTATTGAACCTGAAAGCTGATTACCATCAAGTCTGAGCACTTTCAGTCGAGGCAGCTGAGCCAGAGATTCAGGGATGGTTCCGGCTAAGCCATCATTGGAAAGCCAGAGCAGAGACAGAAATGAGAGGTTGCCGATGTGAGGAGGGATGGTGCCGTGGAGCGGCATGTTGCTAACGTTGAGACCAGTGACTCTTTGCCTTCGACGGCTGCAGGAGACGCCCATCCAGGTGCAAAAGGAGGCATCAGTGGTCCAGTTGGCGGATAGAATGCTGCCTGGATCACGTTCGATGACCTGGGCTCTGATGGCCAAGAGGGCCGAGAGGTCGGTAATGTTGTTATGCTTCGCCCCCGATGATGAGGAAAACAATAATAGCATCAGATGCATAACTAAGAGGACAGACTGGAAGGTTTCCATTGATGCCAGTAAAGGAAGATTATGGAGGATAAAAGAAATTGATACTTCACGAGGGAAAATGCTCAACATAAATAGGCCAGCTGAAGTTGATACTGAAAGAGTGGATCAAGTTACAAATTATATATATAACGCACTACCCACGTTTACTTGTGGACTTTACCTAACGCGCTACAAATTATATATACAAACAGTCCTACGCCATCCCTTTCATTTGGAAGTCATCAGTCCTACATCAGAATATTTTCCATGATTGAAAAATATATCCCTTGATATGAAGATCTCGTGAGGATGAATCAAGTATTAACAGCTTCCCTATTCGGATTAAAAATATTAATATTAGAAGGAGAAAAAAATTTTGTGTCCTCGCCTATTTGGACTTGAATAGTCTACACTTGACCAAATTGTGCCAGCGAAACAAGAACTTAATCATGCAATAGCAGATCTAAAAAACAAACGACTGGTTGTTATTGTAGTCGAAATATAAAAGTAATTGCTATCTGGATTAAATATGATTCTTTAAAGAGACTTGCTTTGGTGCTCCTAAAATAGAATTTTATTTAATTTTTAGTTAAAGAGCAAAATTGTAATTTTCGATCACCATCTTCTCCCCCAGACCGCCCCGGCCCATGTTTTACAGCCTCTGCTATTAAAGTTCTGCGCATCTTCACGAACAAGTGCAGAAATAATTGGGACATCATCACATCAACGAGCAGATAACGCGATTAAAATTAAAATTTAATCAATCAAGAAATCTTTAAAGGTCTTCAAATTCTTTTATTTTCATAATTGATAATCTACTTTTCTAACCTTTTAATACTCGATCAAACTCTTACGGAAGAAACTTTTCAACTTTTTTCACGTTCATTACTAAGTTCTTTTAAAATTGGATAGACAAAATAAAAAAAACTAGTGAAAAAAGAAATGGTTTAGATCAAATCAATGGAAGAAGAAAAAGGATATGATATTGGAGATGTCCGTGCCTATCGTGACCCCAACAAATGGTTTACTGCCTTATTGCTTCGGCTTTGTTTCTATTTTTGAAATTATGTGGAGTGTTAACGAAGAAGATATGGTGAAGTCCTATGTCGCGGTTCATCGGCGATAAATTGTAAAATTAATGAGTGTTAGGATAAGAGCTTGGTTCGGTTTTCGATTCTACTTTTTGCTTACCGTATATCGTTGGATAACAATGGCGGAATTAAGGGGAATTGAGGTGCAGGAATTAACGGCGGCATGTGGAAGACGGTGGCAAAATAATCTAAATATAACTACCCCTCAAAGCCAAGGTAATTACAAATATGGGTGTGGAACTTCACGAAACGGATCGCAGCTGTTTGCATCAGGAACAAGTTTCGTTGTTGAATTCATTATAACTGTTTATCTATTACAATGAATACAAAAGAGCAAGTTTAGTGCTTTGTAAAACTACTCTTTACAATAAAAAACCAAATTACAATGCTCCTTAGAAACACACGCATGATCGTTGTTTAGATCGCTGCTTGCGCGAGATCTTTACCTGTGCCGGGGGTGCGTTAGCCCGTGGACCACCGAATCATATATTCTTATTAAACCGTGAAGGCTATTTGGGGATTCTTGTTTCGTTTAGAAGTAAGAAAAAGAAGTGAATATCTTATCGATGTAAGATGAACACTCTTCTTAAGATCAAGTCAAAGCTTAGATCTCAAGGAATCCCAAAGTTGCTGAATATGCTCGAATTCAACGAAGACTCTCTCTCTCTCATGAGAAGAATGCTCGAAAATACTCAAGTTTATCTACTTAATCTGCTCTATCTGCATGGAAATGCCCCGCCCCTGTTGGTAATGGTCCTAGGGGGTTATTTATAGCCCATTGGGACTGTAACTGAAGGTAGAAGTCAAAGAGAGACCGTGTCGGAGAACTTCTGTTTCTGAGACAGTCACAACTGTCTTGAAAGCATGGCTGGCTTCTGGCCGTTTCATAACCACTCCCATCATGTTTAATTGTCATTATTCCTGCGGTTATGAGCATGGTTTTAGCTTGTAATTGCTCCCCCCATGTTCATAGGTGATCCCCAACAGTTAATAAGTCATGTGGACTACACAGAACTTAAGAAAACTGTCAAAAATAACGTTGTCAGCTTCTCAGTGTGCGAGATAGTCTAAGGTGTCTCGCACTTCCGAGACAGTTTTGGTGTCTCGCACTTCTGGGACAGTTTGTGCTGTATTGGGTATTTTGGCTCTAACTCCCTCGTACGATCTCGAAATAAGGTGATTTAAGATACATTGGAAAGCTGACGAAGAGATCTACAATATTTGTCTTTTGAACTTCTTTAGATTTGACTCACATCATGGCTTAAATGTGCAAGATTCCACCATAATTTCCGAGACAGTCACATGTGTCTCGGAAGCTATGATTTGCCTTCAATGTTGTTTTGCATCTAACTCTCTCGTCCGATCTCGGGATGAGATGATTCAAGATGCGTTGGAAACCATACGAAGAGATCTACAGCTTTTCTCTTTTGAGTTTCTTCAAATTTGAAACACATCATGGCTGAAATGTGCAAGATTCACCATAGTTTCCGAGACAGTCACATGTGTCTCGGAAGCTATGATTTGCCTTCATTGTTGTTTTGCATCCAACTCTCTCGTCCAATCTCGGAATGAGGTGATTCAAGATGTGTTAGAAAGCTAGCGAAGATCTCTACAACCTCCCATAGGCAATACACTCATAGAGTGGGTGAGACACACATGGTACTTCACCCTTTGTGGGTGAAGCACAACTCTCGGTTGAGTTGTTCTTTCATCGTTTTGTGTGTTTTGTAGAGACGTACGCTTCGCCGACTTACTGTATGTGCTTTTTAGCTCCTCTATGGTATCAGATGATCCCCTTTGACTCAGATATTAATAATGTTCATCGTCTTTTCTTTGTCTCGAGCTATATTCAGATAACTATAGGTATTTTGAGATGCCTACATATACCCCCTCTAAAGTGTTTTAGACACATTCTTTTATAGAGGATCTGAGACACTTTGGATAAGATAAATCCTGTGAATGGATTCAATTCTTAACTTCTTATTATTTTAGTCTACTCAGTGCTTTGTAGAATAGATAAAATTCTTTCGGTATTGCGTTTATCGCTTGACCCTTGTTGAAATCTTGAACTGAAGCTGATGTTTTGATTTATGAATTAGCTCTTGTCGTTGAACCGATGTTGAACTGATTGTCTTCATCAGAAATTCATATCTGGATCGCTATTGAACCCCCTGGAATAATCCATTAACTTGGAATTTTTTCTTTAGCCTTATTTTGGCGAAAATCATTGACGTGTTGACCGGCATCAATCTTCACTGTAACGTGTTGACCGGTGGTAACACAGTTTATACTCGTGCGTTTACGGGAGTCTACACAGTTTAAACTCTTAAGGCGTTGGAGCATGGCTGTCTCGAGTGTCAAGGCTACAGGACCAATTATTCAGGTCGGTTCATCTATAGGTATGGATTTTATCCTGAGTTTATCAAATACTCAAGTCACGAGACCAACTAATGAAGCTGGTGCGTCAGTGACTATCATATTTATAGGATTTTTGGCAAACCCTCAGCCATCAACGAATTTGATAAACCTTTACCGACTACCGTTTGAATCGGGCTAGCATGCAAATTGTTTTAGTTCGCTCTGCATGTAACGTTGTGCTAATAGAATAAACTCTCTTGGACTTGGTGCTATGATATTAAATACATAGGCTTGATCGTTTTCACGAGAACGGATCACCCGACAACGCGTGTTAGACGTAGGCTTATCTCTAATAAGGGATCAAGATAAAGTTCCCCATGCATCAAACATGGATTTGAAAATATTGATGGGTGACGTCTTTTTGGTGAAAAGATGATCCCGACACTGGAGAGGAAGAATTTTATATTCTATCTACTGGTCTCTTTTTTATTGGTAGAGATGAACCCAATGATGGAGAGGAAAAATTTTATATTCTATCTCCTACTGCAAAAGAAACTCAAAGTAGGATCTCCACTTCGAGAATCTGAAGGGTAAAACTAAGAGTGGAATCTTCACTCCGATAATCAAAAAGATTTAGATAACTCTAATTGTTTAAAGGTTTGATTATCCAATCTAAAAGTGGTTTTCTCGTTTATCAAGATGGAATTCCAACTTTGGTTCTAACTGTTTAAAGGTTTGACCGAAGGGGAATGTGTAGAAATCTTTCATTTATCGAAAGGTGATTCCGATTTTGGTCCTAACTGTTTAAAGGTTTGACCGAGTGAGGGTTTGAGGCGATCCTAACTGTTTAAATGTTTGATCGTTCAATTTGTCAATTTGTGGACCTCTCGTTCATGGAAGGAATCAAGAGGAGATTTTGGCTTTGGCCCTATCTATTTAAATGTTTGACCGAATGAGATTGGAACGATTCTAACTGTTTAAAGGTTTAACCATCCAATTTGGCAGTGGACCTCTCGTTCATGGAAGGAATCAAGAGGATATTTTAGCTTTGGCCCTAACTGTTTAAAGGTTTGACCAAATAAGAGTTTGAGACGATCCTAACTGTTTAAAGGTTTGATCGTTCAATTTGTAGACCTCTCGTTTATGGAAGGAATCGAGAGGGGATTTTAGCTTTGGCCCTAACTGTTCAAATGTTTGACTAAATGGGGGTTTGAGATGACCCTAACTGTTTAAAGGTTTGATCTTTCAATTTGTGGACCTCTCGTTCATGGAAGGAATCGAGAGGAGATTTTAGCTTTAGTCCTAACTGTTTAAAGGTTTGACCAAATAAGAGTTTGAGACGATCCTAACTGTTTAAAGGTTTGATCGTTCAATTTGTAGACCTCTCGTTTATGGAAGGAATTACGATCCTAACTGTTTAAAGGTTTGATCGTTCAATTTGTAGACCTCTCGTTTATGGAAGGAATCGAGAGGGGATTTTAGCTTTGGCCCTAACTGTTCAAATGTTTGACTAAATGGGGGTTTGAGATGACCCTAACTGTTTAAAGGTTTGATCTTTCAATTTGTGGACCTCTCGTTCATGGAAGGAATCGAGAGGAGAT